CCCGGGAGAAGCACCCTGCTGGATGGAAGATTAGGAAGAAGCATGCAAATGAAAATATTAGGATGAAGTAGAAAAGTTTGGGTTGGATGGAAGGAAAAAAAGATGATGTTGGATAATTTGCTTTGGTGGAATGAAAAGCAGACTGAGACTGGAAATGAAATGGGGAGCTAGGGAAATAGGAAAGGGGTGGGGGGAGGACAAATCTAGAAAACCCCAGAAAACAGTGTCAGACTTTGTTCGCCAGGAATAAAGGAGAAATATTTTTGCCTCCTCCTTGGCCTTCCAAAAGCAGCTGGAAACGATCCCAAAATACTTGACTCTCATCATTGTTTGTTGGTCAGTATACATGATAAAATTGCAAAAACCTCCTAGCAAAACATGCATCGCATTTCCATCAAACTCATCTATACAGAAATTGCAGGTTATCATTCTCCAGCCATTATACAAACACACTCTGCAGTAGATCCAAGACCTCCAACCTTGATCCTAATAACACTAATATGACTTTTCATGACAGAATTTTCTACTTCAAATGTTATGTTTTTTAAACTGTTAAACACTATTAAGGTTGTTAAGCTCAGCACTTAAAATTAGGAAGTAAAAATGTTATTGTCACTGGGGAACATGAATTCAGCCTTCTAAGAAAGGACGTTACAATACAATATCATTGCACAACGACACGAATACCGTTCAATGCAATTTGAACGCAGTATTTGCATCCTTTTTTTCACCTGGAAGACACCTCTGGAGGTGTTTTAGAAACCTGTAATGAAAAAGTTGGTACTCATCACAGGTCTAGAGGGCAATCATAAATCGAGTACGGATCGCAGATGGAGCTCATGGTCAAACTACTCTTGGCAGTTCACCAGCTGGATCTGGTCTCAAACTGTAGTCTTTCCCCAAAGACCACACAAGCCCTTCTGCAGCACGACAGACAATAACAAAGAAAAGCACAGCAACCCACTACCTCGAACCAAAAATTCCACAGCTATTTGATCCTCATTTTGGGGGGCTAGAATTAAAAGGATGTTTTCAGGAATGCTGAGCGCTCAGATCTCCGATTTGAAATCAATGAGACCACTCATTCAAAAATAAAAAATGGCAACATAAAGGTAAGTATTCTGAGATGCCAGTCTGTGCATTTAGCCTGGCCACACAAACTGAGTGGACATATTTCAACTTAATCTTTCAAATTTTCTGCTATCCAAACGGAAAACAGAATTAGACACATAGGAGCATAAAACCAAGCACATTAATTTTTTTCTTTCCATTTTCTTCCCCCCCGGTCTTTGTCTTTGAAAAATAGTCCATGTATACAGAGAAGCCATATTTTATACTTTTTTTTTATTTTACATTTGATTCAAATACAACCTTAAGTCCGACTTTGCAACATCAACACTTTTATAGTGACGTGTGTGAAAATTGATAGTTACACATCACACTAAATTTATCGACTTTTCAAGGCTGCAGAAGCCATATTTCCCTTGAAAGAAGACTGAGAATTAAGACCGGGTAAGTAAACCAACGTAAAGTTCTGTCAAAACAGTATGGAAGGCTGAAAAAGTATGCTACAGAGGGCTGAAGACAAACTAACACAGTCAAGACAACAAGTACCTGAATAATCAAAAATACCTGGCTCAGCTTCCCTTCATAAAGGATGCTGCCAACAGAATCTGCTTTTCGGCTAACAACTCAGGGCAAAAGGGCTAACAACATTCATTGTGAAGCCCGAGGCCTCCATTGCAAAAATCCTCTTCCCAAACGTACGATATGATAAACTTGATCTATAGAAAGCAGGCTGTTTGCACCACCGATTTCCAGTCTTAGCAGATACCATACTGACAAACCACCTAATCACGGCTCTTGACGTTTTTAAAAATACCTAACTTTTTAATGAAAAAAAACCCCTATCATTACCATATGTTACATACGGCACTGTGCAGGAGTTTCTCCCTATCACAGGAAACTTCATTTTCCAGGTTCACGTCAACTGGTTTTTGTTACCCACGGTTAGTCAGCCAATGTTTTCGCTGACTTAGTCCAACTGAAGTGTTACTTATTTGCACCAAGCGCCATGCTATCACATCTTAGAAGCTCTGCATGAACCTTTCACTCCACAGAAAATTTTATATTAAGAAGATAATTGTCCTAAGTATAAAGAAGACAAACACAGGTTTTGCACTACCAATAGCGGTTCCATTTGCCAAATAATATTTTCTATTAAAGAAAAATTTCATTAGGACAGATCCAGAGACAAAAAGCAGAGCAGGATGCACAGGGTCTGCAGGCTGCGGCGCAGCGGAGGCCTGCCAGCACGCGCTGCCTACCACGACGCTTCAGTGACAGCCCTTCTCTCCTGCTGGAGGACGGGGGAGGAGCTCCTGCCTCT